TATTGTTACCTATCACAAGTATACAGTACATAAATACATACTGTATACAGTACATAAATACATACTGTATACAGTACATAAATACATACTGTATACAGTACATAAATACATACAGTACTGTATGCACATAAACGCACACACAAGACACATCATTTGAATAATGATGTCGAATTGCACTGCTATTTAGAGCGTTGAACTGACATAAAATATTTAAAGGTGTCAGCTGCTTTTCAGCTAATCGTAATGGGAGGCATCGGGAACCAACCCCATTCAACCCCAACTCCAGAGTTCATTTAATATCTCTGTCATGCAGGTAAAACATTTTCATACTGACTGGCGAAAAAAATAGGCTTCCCTTGCTGGCAGGGACATTACATTATTTGTCACTCAATTTAAAGAAATAGTTTGTTGCTCTTTACTAGGATTTGACTGCTCACACAGTGGTAATTTATTGTTTATGGAATGAAAACAAAACAAAAAAAAACGTACGACATAATTTCAGCTACTTTTTAATTTCTACCGGTAACATTTTGGGAGATTAACTAAATTTTCAAATTCACAAGCTGCCAACCTGTTCTTTTTGTTCTATAATGAACCCATATATCAAAATGTATTTCCTCCAGTTCACACATCATAATTTCTGATGATTTAAAAACTCATCATCCACACCTGATGGGCGTGACACACCAAGGGAGGTGGTATTAATGGCAATCCATTAATACATAGACATCATTTGACATGCATAATGAAGCAGAAATGTGAGGCACATTTCACTGGGAGGCACTTATAAATCCTTCCTTAATTGCAATATCACACCGTAAATACTGCCTCGTAATTGGCCTACAGGGAAGGACAGATTCCGCCGCACAGGACTCACGTTGGCCTGTATGATGACCAGGTAGCGTGTGGTTTCCTCGTAGTTCAGCCTCTCCCTCAGGACCACGGCGCCGGACAGGGTGAGCGGTATGTCAAAGGTTCTGTTTGCTGTCTGCAATACAGACGGGCCGGCTTCAAAGTGAAGTCATTACACTGCAAACACTCGATGAAGATTACCGGCCTGCCAGGAGTGGGGAGACTCCTGACCGCTGAAGATACACTGCATGCACTGTATGAGTCTATATATAGAGCTCTAGAAAAAATCAAGAGACTGCATCAAAATTTTCAGTTTCCAGGTTTTTTTACAATTTATTCTTTCATAAACTATTGATCACATTTGGTCCCAAATTCCAAACAAAAATGTTGTCATTCAGAGTATTTATTTTCAGATAATGACAAATGATCAAAATGCTGAAAGGTACAATGCTGTTATAGTGGAATAAAGTTTATATCCATTATTAAATAATACAATAATAATCTTGCATTTGGTGGAATGACCCTAATCTTTTCTCAGCTCTGATGCATCTTGGCAAGCTCTGCACCACAATCTCCACCTTCACATTGTTGTTGGCTGACTTTGTCCCACTCCTGAAGCACAAATTCAAGCAACTCAGCTTTGTTTGATGACTTGTGACCATACATCTTCCGCTTGATAATATTCCAGAGGTTTTCTATGGGGCTCAGGTCTAGGGTCTTGATCTGCTGGTCCTCCTCCACACCTTGATTGGCCTGGCTGTATGACATAGAGCATCGTCCTGCTGGAAAGCTCAATCAGCTGAGTTGGGGAACATGGTCTGACCAAATGGAAGCCAGTATTCTTCCAGGACAAGCTTATTCGTTGCTTGAGTCATGCGTCCTTCACAGAGATGAATATGCCTGATTCCAGCCTTGCTGAAGCACCCCCGGGATCATCAGCAATCCTCCGCCAAATTCCACATGGGTGGAGGACGCTGGGACTTGTAGGCCTCTCTAGGTCTCCATCTAACCACCAAACTGCTGGTCAGAGCTGAACATTTTACGCCCCAATCTTTATGGTCTTTTGTATACTCCAGCCTGGCTCTTCTCTGCGTCTTACTGATGAAGGACGTCTGCCTTGCATTGTGGGACTTCAGTCCTGCTTCTAGAAGGCCATTTCAAACTGTCCTAGCTGTGCACTTCACACCACTTAAAGTTTCCCCATTCTTTTTGAAGGCCACTTGATGTCATTCTTCTATTCATCTAAGATCAGTTGGAGGTCATCTCTGACAAGACAGTTTCTTCACTTAAGACTACAGAAATCTTTGTCTTTGGCACAGTCAGTGGTTGTTACATAATGTTTCTAAATTATTCTGAATGTTTTTATGACATTCATTTTGTCCTAGTAAGATAGGATGGCTATGTCCGTGGCAGTGGTTCCCAAACCTTTCCTCGTTCTCTGAGGTTTGGTTTAGCTAATCAGCGAATCGATAAATTGAATGAGGCACATTTGTGTTGAAATTCAACAAATATCGCTTGTAGAATGGCTGCCACAGAAATTAAAATATTTAAAAACACACGGAGTGGTCTCTTAATTTTTACATATATAATGTTCCATATGTCAAATTTTCACCATACTTGTAGTAATCTACAGTAAACAAATGCAGTGGTTTTTGAAACAGAGCAGTTCAGTACTGCAACTATATTATAACATACTATATTACACTATATAATCCGGCATTGATATGACATACAAAAGTACTCATTCGCAGTATTTTATTGTCATAACAGCATCCATACTTGTTTTATGTGCATTTGCATGCTTATGACAAGGATTAACAGCACATTTTAGCTTCATACTCTACGATCTTGTGTACCAGTTATGTCAATCCTTGTATATAATACTATATTATAGGAAAGTACGATGTATGTTGCTTTAACATACCGGGTCGTTCGGGTTGTACTGGATGACGTACTCAATCTGTCCATTCGGGCCATCGTCAATATCTGTGGCACCATTGTTCCCAGAGAAGCCAGTAAAGATTGTGGTCCCCACTGGAGTTAGCTGAAAAGAGGCAAATTACAAATGGATTGACCACCAGCTCGCCAAGAAAAAGGTAAACAAATAACAACAAACTCCTCAATGCATTATCTGAAGTGGAAATCTGCTCAAAAGCAGCTGTCTCCTGTGCTCTGCCTTGTACTGATGATTGACACCCGTCCATCCATCCATTTGCTGTGGCCACTTTTCCTGATCAGGGTCACGGGGGGGGGGGGGTCTCAAAAGCTGCTGGTGGGATTTGCACCAAATAAGGGTCATTTTGTTTCCATAAACAATGCAATGAGTGGTTTCGCATTGTTTTTTCGCTTAATACTTCACTCCAACATGCCGCAGTGTGCCAGACCTCATCAAAGAATCAATTACCCCGGATGAAAGTGGATTCCGGCTAAATGAGGACAAAAACACACTTCGGATCATTTATGGAAGACATACAGTAGCAGTACCTTTACGTTAACCTGTTTGAGGGCAGTGAAGCTTGTTTTTGTACTGAAATTGGCTTATTAGTATTTAATAAGTATGTCGGCTGGAATCTATCTGCCAGATAAACCCAGAGAAACAACAGCTGCTTATCCTTCAGTAGGCTGATCTGTACCTGTCTGTCACTAAAGGAAACATGGGAAACTGAGAACTAAACACCAGAAATGACAGAGGAGGAATCTCCCTTTAAATGAAAATTTCACAATCGAGGAATATTACCGTAACGGACAGAACTTGATGTGAAAGGGAATTTTACTTTTCATTCAGTTTTGATACAAACCAGAAGATACTAAATGACTTTTGCTCATTTCAAACACTAAACATTTTAGAATGGTTCTCCTTTGGATGAACAGGAAATTGTCAGTAATAAAGAAAACAGCTAAACATTATCCGTGTGTGCAATCCCTATAGAGATTAAATGAGTTAAATTTGTTTCTTGTTTGTTTTATTGGATTAAATGTCATCATTAATCATTCCTTAATGTAAAATTGGTGTTCACAGGGCATGTGATCCAGTGCATGGATCATTAATCATTTCTAAGCATGAGACTGACTAATCTGTCTGTCCGTCTGTCCATCCATCCTCTAACTGCTTATCCTGGTCAGGGCTGTGTGCAAAACTAAGCCAATTTATTTAAAAACAGATACTAATTATGAGTAACATTTATAAAACAATTATTGCAACATATTGCAGGTCTTCAAAAAAATGTACAATGAAAATGCTGTTATTGGAAGTTAAAGGCGAACATTTTCAGTTGACCCAGCATCAGTCCAAAAAGCACACAGGAAACATCCATCTTCTAAGCACTTATCCTGCTCAGAGCTGCAGGAGGGATGGGGGCCCTGTCCCAGGCGGTACAGGGCTGGGGTGGCAGTCCATCACTGGGTGCATACACACACCAGTCAGTTCAGGGACAGGAACAGCCCAAACGCTTGTCTTTGGATTGCAGGACAAAACTGGAATAAACACACAGGGAGAATATGCCAACACCACACACACAGAGCAAAGGTGGGCTTTGACCCCACAACCCCAGAGGTGTGAGGCAGCAGTACATAGGTTTTGCACAAATGAGGATCATAGATTAATTGGGGTTAAGGGCCTTACCCAGAGGTCCAACATTGATGTGATCATATTGCCAGTCACGGGATTTAGACCAAAAACCTACCAATAACAAGCATAGAGTCCCAGCTCACAGAGCCACACACTTCCCTCTGCAGCACTCTGAGCCACTGCACCACCTAAACTAACAACATAACTCGGCCATTTTCCAATTAATCTGTACTTCAATTTCTATGCTAAAAAGTATGGATTTGCTGGACTTATTTTGTACCTTAGCTTGGTAAACTGAAATGCAACAACTTCAAATTAATTTATAAGCAAAAGAAATGCAAACATATACAGACAGTAGAGAACACTCTTAAACTCACAAATTTCCCACTTGAAGATCTATATTCTGCAGAGTCGATAATCGGATTCTGTTTGCTGGGAAATTGCATAATCTGTGATGTAACTGCATACTTAAAGACAGAGCTAATGTTTACCTCCCTGTCTATTGTTTGTCTGTTCCGTGCAAATTTTCACACACTTTCCCACTATGGATCCCTTACGTGTCATATTTACGTGTTTACAACCGTGCAGATAATATGCCGCATTAGCACACAAACGATAATGAAATGCACGACTGCTTAATGAGTTTAATGAGTTGCAACGCCAACCCTGCATCAGCCATCTCGGCCCCTCTTGCGGAAGATGCCGGAATCTGATCTTGTTTCTCTCCCCCGGGCTCTCACACTTCGGTGCCTCAGAGACAAAAGCGGATGAATTGCTGCCAGCGTGCCGTTGTTTTTTCTTTTTAATCAAAATGGGACACCTATCATTTCATCATTTCGGGGGAAGAAAGGATCCACTCCCACTGTCAAAGCGACGGCGACGTGCAGAATGGATACTGCCTGTCCTATTCAGTCATTCATTCAGCTGCTGCTCTTCTTGGCCTCTTCGGGATATTTTACATGACAAAAAATGAAACCCCAGTAGGAAGCATCAATCAAAAAAAAAGAGAAAAAGGACAAAGGGGCAAAGGAAAGCTCAGTTCGCAGGATTATGTTCTGTCTTTTGTATGTCCACCGGGCCCTTATCGGTACAAGCAGGTCCGAAGTTTCTTGGAAATAGAGGGGCTGTGTAATCATGCCGTGCACCCATCACGCTGTATCGGCGCGGGAGAGCTGCTGTGGTCTCAGGGAGACCCGTATCGGGCGGGAGGAGGTTTGCGTGTCACTGCCGTGTGACATTACTGCCTGTCATCAAACACTGTTCTCACTGCCCCCCCACTGCTCCCCGGTAGAATGAACCCACAGAATCTTAAAGACCCACGAGGAATGGACACAAAATAACTGAAAGAGATGATGAATCTGCATTTATGGGTTCTTCACCTTTCATAACCACTTACTGAGTGGCCAGATTACGCAGCACAGTGCAGCCTACGTCCCCTAAACAGAGCACACACAAACACTGGAGGAAAGAGCCCTTGCTCAGGGGCCCAACGGTAAAATCACTCTGCCGATCTCCAGGATTCAAACCGACAACCTTCTGATCACAAGCAGTGTCCTACCCCACTGAGCCACACAGCAGCCCACATGCAAACATGCTATGGACATCAATTCACCTAACCACATGTTTTTAAATTGCAGAAGAAAACCAGGCTACCCAGATGAACCTACATTTGGTCCCCACAATGTAATATATACATAATCCACACACACACAAACACACAGGTTTGTAATTACATCTTTGTGGGGACTCTCCATTCATTTCTTTTGGGAAAACTATAATCAATGACATGACAGTCATTACCCATACCCAGCCCTAACCTTAACCATAAGTAACCCAACAAAATACAAGACTTTAGGCATTTTTACTTTTTTGATTGCATTCACAGATGTTTGTGGGGACCTGAGAAATGGTCCCCACAACATCACAATAACAGGTGTTCATTACATTATGGGGAACATAATCCAAATACACACAGACACACACACATGCAATGAAAACTGCACCCTCAGTCCTGGCATGTATGACACCACAGAGCTGGCCAGTGAACTCTGAATCAGGATTAATGTTGCAGGTTTAATAGCATTACAATACACACTGAATCAGGGCGATTCTAAAAGGAAATACTAAGGTCACCTTAAACTTTCATAGCATGGGATACAGAAACATGCATTAGTCAAAAGATGAGCGAAAAGGTATACATTATTCAACAGCAGTCTTAAACTAAGAACGATCATTCCCTGAATCATTAAGTTTATTAATACTGGTTTTAAAGTTGCTGAGTAATTATTATTCAGTATGGCGAAGGAAGAGTTATAATTTTACTGCTGATGAATGACAGTTACGCTGTAAAATATGCATATCAAAGTCTCGTATTTAAAGCATGATTACAGGAGCAAAAACAAAGCGAGTGCTGACCCCTCCGTCACACACTCCGAGACGCTGCAGAGGACAAAGAAAGTACCAACATCCAGGTGCTTTAAGACAACAAACTTTAGTTTTTTACTACATACTATGATTGCTTGGAAATGATGAAACAGTATGACAGATCTTTGAGCTTGCCTGAGTATCCAGATAGTACTGCATATCTGCAGTGAGGAGAAGGCCCTCAGCGGCACACTGCCAGTGTCAGTCTCGCTTCTGCATCTGCATCTAACGCACCCTTTATAACACAGTCTCCCATTTCCATCTGCAGTACTTTGCTGTCTTCGATCACCTAACCCCCCCCCCCGGCCCCGCTGGAAAAGCTTGATTTTATCTGACACTTCAGACTGCACGAGTTAACTAATGGACTACACTGGAAACAACCACAACACTAATCTACGTGTCAACTCAATGTTTAATTCTTAAGAATCGATATTAAGAATATTGAGATCGGGCCACGATTTAGATGCATATATACGAAGCAGCATGCCTCTGTGCAAAGATGTTAACTAATGAGAAAGAAAGAAAAAAAGAGCACCAATGCGGCACTCTGGGAAGCCAATTTCAATTAAGTAAAAACGCCGAGAATCACTAGGTATCTATTCCGCGGTACAGTGTACGCGGCGTGATGACTATGGTGGATCTATTTTTAGATCACACGCTTGAAAACCACATCCCCGACCGCACGTCCGATAAGCGTCTGAATCACAGAGCAGGTAATTGCATTACCGACACTTGCTGGGAGATATCAGTATCTTGCCTTGTGGCCAACCAGTTCTGTAGTGACCAGAGCTTGTAATTATTGAAAACTGAAACTCCTCGTCAATAACAAACAGTAAATGTTTTCATTTCTTAACATCATATTGTATTATAGTAATATTACTATTATACTGTTAAAGACTGAAGTTCTGGACTATTATACCAATACAGAACTCAGAGAACTCAAAAACATAAACACTAACCATTTGAATACAAAACAAGTGTATTATTCCAAATAAAACCACTGTTTATAAATTATTTCAGTATTTTACGGATTTCAGAATTTTATGCAGGTCTTGATATCTGCAAATTTTCAGCAGGAATCAGCTGCTTAACATTGAATCTTCCATGACTGCACTAAAACAAATTGTACTAACATTAAAAAAAATGACAGCCACAGATGCAAAACTTGCATTTGTGGCAGTGAAAGCAATGATATCGGTGGCGATGTTCCATGGATATGTCTGAACTTCACATCCTGTCTCAGGCAGACATCAGACATCGAGTGGCTTGTTGCTGCAGATTCAGAGTCATTCAAAGTGCATTCAAAGTGTGTTTAAGTTCCGCCCTGCCGGAAAAGTAGACGAGCAGGGTGCTTTTAAGGGCAGACATTAAGAGGATCTCCACTTCAAATGCTCATTTAATTAGTGCTACTGAAACCAAATTAAATGCCAAAATGCCCAAAAAGAAGTAAATGGTGCAACTCAAAATGAGCCAAATGTCTTTTTATAAACCTTATCATATTATAGTAAGACTGCGTTTTCCGGTAATGAAAACCACTAAATTGTTTTTGTGAGCTGTCTTGCTGTGGATTTGCGAAATTGCCGTAGTTCACAGGATGAAGTTAATTGCATTACAACAATAGGATGGGCGATAAGGGACATCTGTTATGTTAATTGCACTCCTGTTTTGGAACTAATCGCCGTGGAAACAGAGCTCACCGAAACTGGCAGGAGTGGTGCCTTCCATCACTGACCTCGTTTATGGCGACGTAGTAGCGCGGCTGCTGGAAGCGCGGTGCGTTGTCGTTGCGGTCCCTCACCACGATGCGTACCTCGTGCAGGATGAGCGTGCCGACCAGCTCGTTGATGCACTTCACTTGCACCACGATGGAGTGGATGTACATAGGCGGCTGCAAGGAACCAGAGCAATCGTCATATTTCTTGGAATAATGTAGTAGGCAGTCTGGCCGCTGGTATGTTAGAATATAGCCAGAGTTGGGTAATTCAGGTCCAGAGAGTAAAAGTCCAGACCGGGATTTTATTTCAACCAACCAGTTGAGCCTAAAGAGTCACAGTCTCAGAGTAGTCAACTGGTTGGTTGAAACGAAATCCTGGTCTGGACTCCTACTCTCTGGACCTGAATTACCCAACTCTGAATACAGCGTGTGGGTTAGGACTTTTTGCCCATGATCGTAAGGTCGCTGGGTCAACTCCCATGGCTGCCAGAGGGATGTCGCTCTTGGGCCCTGGAGTAAGGCCCTTAACCCCAAGTGCTCCAGGGACTGGCTGACCCTGCTGTCTCGGTTGTACCTTGCTTTAAATAAAAATGTCTGCTGAATAAATAAACGTGGAATACTTTTGTGGTAACTGTAAATTAACATTTCTCAAACTCAACACTTGTTTCCTAGTTTGCATCGTTATTTTTACTAACATGCTACAGTACCTGTGGCTCTACCACTGTACTCTACTATACTATACCATACTCTATTATGTACAGGTAGCTTGCATTTCTCTATTCATATTGTATAGTTACATACTCTAGTTATGCACAGAAAGGTTATATTCAGTATTATAATATAGACAGTTTACACGCATTCTATTTATGTTACATATTTCACATTGTTGCTATATTATGTACAGATAGTCTATTCATGTATATAATGTGTGTCCGAGGGAGTTTTACTTACACAAAAATTATCTGAGGGCTGAATGAAAAGTGGTTGGTTCAGAGAAATAACCGATCAGGTGGTAGAGGTGGTGGGTCCAAGCAACTATAATCTGATTGGTTATCTCTCTGAACCAATCATTTTTCATTTGGCCCTCAGAACATTTTTGTGTAAAACTCCCATGAGCTGAAAACATACACTATTATGCTTAGAAAACCAGTAACAAACTTACAGCTGCTCTTGGTTCCCAGATGTCTACATTAGTAGTTAGATATAGTGCAATCCAATTAGTTCTCAAAAGCTACAGAGATAATGGAGACTATGTGGGATCATCTTTTTATGGCTAACAGCCAGGGATTAAAATTAATTTGGAAATGCCCACCTCGAGCCTGTGGATCTCTCTTCTTTGATTCTACCTTGTTCTGTGAACTAGATGCGAAACAGATCGATGCAGAGTACACCACAGAACGGCCCCGACAGGGAGGAGTGAAGTTTGGCTACGTCTGAAAGCGAAAGTGCCTAGATATTGCACTTAGTATTCGTCGGGAGCCTGAGGAGGAGGTGGCGCAGAAATCTGCCGGCACGTGCAAAATTAAGCACGGCTCGGATTCACAGAAAACCAATATCTGGTATCAGTGAGGACAGATCCAAACAGCTTTCACGATGTGCATCTTATAAAACGATTTTAGAATCTAATCCCCCGCTCTCATCATTGTGCTTGTAAACGCCCTGGTTTTTTGCAGGGGAGGACAGGGAAGCCCATGTCTGTCCACCGTTAATCGCCCTACTCCTGCCTGGTTTATGAACCACCACAGTAGAGGACTAACTGCTGACAGGAGGTTCGCTCTCCAAATTCAATCAGTAAAACTCTATGGTCGCCATCGAGGTCTGACAGACTCAGTGGTGCCGTATACTGTGAATATATCCCAGCCCATTCCTCTCCCTCCTTCACCCTAAAGAAGACGATTTATGGAATTTATGTGACATGTGTTTCCCAATTAAAAAGACACAGTCCATATTGGATCAACGATCTGGGCTGCAGGACTCGCAGTCAGTGAATAGGGTAAGGCCGATAATCAAATTCTCACAGAGAGCCATGGTTATTAACATTTATTAATTTGTTATTTCGCGTGCTGTTATGACAAGCTCTTATCTATCATTTATAATTAACTGAGAAAGTTTAATTAAATCTAACCTGGTGCAAGTGTAGTCCACAATATCAAAGGAGGATTGTGAAATTAATTCTACAGATACGTATTGTGTATTGCAATGTCGAGCCATTAATGGAGATAGAAAGCGGTAAATGGAATAAATAACGCTGGTAATTACATTTTTAAAGACCTTACGTTTTACATGTCAGATACTTACATCTCTGTCAAGAACACGGCCGGTGCTGTTCAGGTACAGCCGCTGTCTCATGGGATCCAGAATGACCCAGTGGTCGTAATTGTCTTGTAAAGATAAGGATATGGTTCTTCCTGGGTCTTGAGCTCTGCCATTTATTTGCATATTTTCAACCAGAACAGTCCCTGTGACAAAACAAAATATTAATTATCCACAAAGGGCACTTCTATTTGCAAAGATGGTGTAAATAGTCAGATCCTTAGTAAAAATGCATTTTGTACTTTGATTGTGTCACTTGCATTGTTTGTTCTATTTACTCACGTTAGAACAAAAGGCATAAAACAATCTAATTACTCCCGTCAGAGATACAGCAACATGAACTTTGCAAAAACAGACGCTTGTAATTAAGCGTTAACATTAAGACCTCACATACTGAAAATAATGGTCTTTTTATAGTAAACTTTCTGAGCTGATCCCATCTTCATAGAACTGGTAAGCCACAGAATGATGCATTTCCCACTGTGCTGGAGCGTCCAAATTGAATTTCATCTCTTCTGTTTTTCAACTGTACGGCTACAGAACACCATCCAATCATTGAGCTGGGATATGCTCCGCACATGACCTCAGGGGTGCACTGCCCCTCGGACCAGTGTGTCCACCTCCACTCCGGCTCTAAAGGCTATGCTGTCCTGTCAGCTGGCCTGGCATCAGAGGCGACCCCACGAGCACCGAGGTGCCTAGCAAAGCGATTCGCCACCTGCTATCTGAAGATCCTGGAGGCCGGGGGGCGTGCGGTTAAGGTGAATACCATTTAGTTCAGATCCCCAAGGACGATGTCACCCAACCCCTGCGGATGTCACTGTGCTCCGAGCGGCGGAAGACAGGAAAGGCGAGGGAGTTTTAAAATTCAGATTCACCATAGTGCTGACAGAAACTTCACAGACAAATTAGGGGCTATTTAACATCTCACTACACATCCAGCAAAGGCTCTGCTGGATCAAACTGTCCCAAGAAAGCCCCCCCACCCCCCCAAGGCAGAAAGCAGTCCAGCCAGGGAAGGGGCAGTATAACCATCATGTCTTAAACTGCTCTTCAAATTTACATTGCATATTACCGTGAGCATAAACTGAATAATATCTATATATAATGACAAAATTCATTCCAATTATCATGCGCGATATACTGTAGCTGTTCATTCACACCATGTTAATTTGTTGTGGTCTCTAGTTCTGCTAACAGCTATACCATTTCTTGTGCCATTCAACAGAACAATTAAGCAATGACAGGAGTATGCCATCCATACTAATATACAGAGACTGAACAGCTCTATTGTGGCACTAAATGTGCCATATGCATTAATCACAAGTGCTGTAGCATTTTCCAGCATTTTTTTCCTGTACTTTGTAGCTGGGTTGCAGTTGCGTATTCAGTTTCTACAAATAAAAACGGGGGTTATGGTGCCTCTGTGGGCAGCACTACTGCCTCATATGTCCTAGGGGGCTTCAAATGGTGCCTCTGCTCTGTGTGTGGGTGGCGTTTGCTTGCTCTGCCTGTGTTTTTTCCAAAAACATACAGTTCGGGTAGATGGTGTCCTTAAGACCTCCATTGTGAGCGCGTGTGCCCTAAGATGGACTGACAAGGAGCGTCTATGCCTTGTCGCGTAAGCTATCTGGGAGAGGTTCAACCAGGAAGAGCAGCTGGAAGGAGGATGAAATTCTTTGGAAACTTGATAAGCAGAAAACTGATATACTGAGAGCCGAGCCGCAGAATCTCCGCGGAAGAAATTACTACCGCAGCAGGACAACCATTTTTACCTGAGGCACTGCTGATGGGAAGTGTGTTTTCCGAGAATTTCATTTGCTTACTTGGCAAAACAAAGTTGCGGCACACACCCAACGCTATACAGCCGCACAGCAAAACTAAAAAAGGAAAACACAGATACTGGCGGTAAGAACCACGAATTGATGATCACTAGGCTGGTCAAAAGTCTGTCATTCGTGTCGCGAACGAATTTTGGAATCGTTTTCATGGAGCAAATATTACGATTACTGACACGGATATGCAGTCAAGCAGGAAGTAATAAAACGAAATATTTATTATCATTTAATTTTACTAATGGAGGAGCCAACTACAGATGTAGCTAATGACTCATTTAAATCGCTCATCCAGTTAGTGTCACGGGGATCAGACCCCTGTCTCGGGAGGTATGAGGCACAAAGCAGGGTGTAACCTTGACAGTCTGCCGCAGGGCATTTAGGCACACAAAAGCCCACACAACAGTAACAGCATTACCTACTGAGCAAATGGGCCACCTAGCTTTAAATTCCGCTCCAATAAAATTCTGCTTAGAGACGCATATTTTGAACATACTGTATAATCTTTTTAATAACCAGCCAGAACAACACGTCTTACAATTTGAAAAGTACGTTATTTAACAGTGCATCCATAAATGGAACGCCTCGCTAAATTCGTTTAGTCGTATATGGCTAGCGGCAACGGCACATTGCAGTGTATAGGTGGATCGATCGCGTTTTACACAAATAGCTAGATAAAGTGGCTAATATGTGTATCGTGAGTGGTTGTGAGATGTAGGTGTCCAGGAAGACAGGTCGAAAGCAAATTACAGAAAGAAAAAACAGAATCATAAATGGGGTCAATGGCCCTTTAAATTAAGGAAACTAGAGTGGCAGAAGGTACAAAGATAGCAGAAATGTAGTTATGTAGCTAATAGGGAACAGCAGAGTTTAGCTGTAGGGATCTCCCTCCCCCAGAGTTTCACAGAGCCAGCTGGTCCCACTCAGCCATGCAAGTAGGTAATCTCATCGTGGCCTGTGTGCGACCAACTTTCTTTCATTAATCGCGCTGACTGTTGACACAAGACTGGTAATTACCTGCTGTATCAACCCAAAAGTCGCAAGGAGCTGGCCCAGCTGTCATCCTGCATGCTTTTTCTCCTTTTTTGTGCATTGACTTGTTTCACATTTCCACCGAAATTAATATGTCTTGACACTACCTGTTACAGTCAAGAAGGAAGACGTAATGACAGCGCACGACGTTCCACGGCTCACTGCGCTGTCTGCAGATGTAAAGTGCACCTTCTCCTCCACTCATCTCTAACGTAAGACGAACGTGTGCGGCGCATGTCGACGTGCCGATAATTCGCCGACTGCTGTGGTTGTGGCACCTGCCCTATCGTTCTTTAGTCAGCAGGTCGTTTTCCACTTTATCAATTCAAAAGTATGAAGTCAGTAATAGACAACAGGTGATAAATTCCGCAGGATAGAGGCGGTCTGATGGAAGACCCCCAGGGCCGGAGTGGGAGTTCCAGCATGGGATAGCCACACCCCAGACCGGCAGAGTTGGTGGGGGGGGGGGAGGGGGCAATGATTAAATATGTTGAGTGGAGGGTAGGGGAAGAGTGTACAATGATATGAATGAGGGGGGTTCCAATGGTAAAATCTGCTGAGATGGAGGGGGGGGGACAACAGGGAAATATGATGAGTGGGGGGGAGTCTCCGATAATACACTGTATAAAGGGGGGGGGGGGGTTTCCCAATGATATAGTTTGCCGAGTTGGAGGGGTAGTCAGGGGGCAATGATAAAATATTTTGGGATGAGTCTCCAATGGTAGGCTTTGAGTTAGTGGGAGGGGGGTGGGTGGGTGTTAGCGTCCAATAATAAAATTTGCCGAGTTGGAGGGGGTGAGGGAGGGGTAAGAGGTGGGGGAGCAACAATACAAATTTTCACCAGTTCAGGGCCAGGCAATTCTCCCAATCAGCCACTGTGGCACCAACGTCCCTCCTCATCACAGTGCATAGCGCTCCTCACTGGCTAATGATCCATCATCAACGAGTAGCAAACATAAGGGCTTCTGGACGATGCTGGACACCTTGAGGTCCTCGACCTACCTACTTAGAAGTTATAAGTACCATCAATAACAATTCTCCTTATGCGATCCAAAAACTGTATGAAATCCAAGATCCAGGTATTCCACACTGCCAAATGTAACACCACACTCACAAATTACCCCAAAATTACCCATAACTCTGTCATCCTGGCCAATTTTCTGATTCAAAGAGGCTTTCGGAGGAGCAATCTGAATGAGCAGCTGCTAGGAGACAATGGCCACCTGTTGAACACACAGCTGACGGGACTAGACGCCGTGCCAGCTGCACCGAGGACGTTCACCCCCAACCACGGCTTTACAAAGGCCTGTACCGTAACTAAGCAAATGTTTGAAAATGTAATCCAGCATTCCCGAGAGAAAACGCTATGGCTTAGTATTTCTCACATCCCTAATAATGCATGTCCATCAGAAGCCTTTTGATGATATTTTCCTACTGTAGTTACTAATATTAATGCTATCTATCTAATCTATTATCATATATTAGATAGATAGCAAGGGCACATGAGGGGTCATATGCTCTTACAGCCATTTCCAGGGCAGCCGTAATTGTGTGGCATTATTACACACAACATAAGAACTATTACACGCAACATAAGCACGACGCAGAAAACTTTCACATAAATGTTCTGTAGTTTTCCATAACCTGGACACGATGCCAGTCCACCACAGGGCACACAAACACAATCACACAATGAATTAGGTAAATGTGTTCAGGAAGGTCTTATCATCATGGTGGGAACCTTGCAAGTTCTTATTGAGCATAACTGCATGTGCTCAGTCCTGAAACTCAGTTACAAATAATATTGCATATATTACATTCACTGATACTATATCTGCATACCTTGTTTCAATATGGCCCCAACTAAAATAATTTTATGCATTACTTAAAACTATAAGCTGGCATTCAACAAAGCACTGAGCTTGTATTCCACTACTTAACCAGTGAAAAGCATAGTCGTGTTTAGCAAATGCCACGCTTTAAGAACAATGTCAAAGAACGTCACCTGCTTTCATTATGGCGCTAACAAAATCAGGTTTTTCATGTTCGGTTTCCACAGCTGTGCTCCGTGGAAAAATCCCTTAACAAAGTTACACACCTTCACGCCACATGAATCAGAAAAATGTCTGTCGGCGGCGACACGCGGCTCCACATTCAATGCCTTTCACTACCATCTCCATGTACACCCCCTAGGTTTAACAACGTAGGTTGTCATGCATACCACAGTATTAATTGTGTGTTTATTCAAAAGCCCTATTAGAGGGAGCTTAGCTGAAATA